AGGTCACGGTCGTTGTGGTTGAGGTAAGTATCGTGCTATCGTGTCGCCCTGTTACGGGCTTAATCGCAAACTCTCTCTCTCTCTCTCTCTCTCTCTCTCTCTCTCTCTCTCTCTCTCTCTCTCTCTCTCTCTCTCTCTCTTTCTCTCTCTCTCTCTCTCAGTGTTGATTCCGTATCCCGAAGTGGCAATTGTGGCGTCACTAGGGTGTATAAACTTGACTGAAGCACAAACGGTTATCGGGTAGCAAAAAATTCAGGAATGAAAATTATGAAGTGAGAGTTTTTGGCAGTCTGAAAAATCCTGAATGGTTTTGAAGTGATGAAAGATCCGAAGACCCTGAAAACCCCCTGTTTAGGCAGGCTGAAGGGTGTTCTGAAGTGGTCAAGTGAGAGTTTTGGACAGTCTGAAAATCCTGAATGGTTTTGAAGTGGTGAAAGGTTCGAAGACCATGAAAACCACCCTTCACTACTTGAGGATGCAGCCTGCCTAAACAGGTGGTTATCATGGTCTTTGGAGCTTTCACCACTTCAGGACCACTCAGGATTTTCGGACTTGAATGGTCCTGAAGTGGTGAAAGGTCCGAAGACCCTGAAAACCACCTGTTTAGGCAGACTGCATCATGAAGTGGCGAAGGGTGTCCTGAAGTGGTGATGAAAAATACGATTGTTGTTAACCTTCTCTCAACTGCAACGGTGTCTGAAGAGGTAGCAAGCAGGAGTACCGAGTCTGGAGAGCAGGATTTCGTAGGTGGAGTAGGGAAAATTGAAAAAATATAGCAAGCAGGCTAGGAGGAGAAGTTGAAGGTGGTAGGATGAGGAGAAGTAGCAAAAATAACAAAGAGGCTACATGATTCGAATGTCGAAACTTACCATGTGCGCAAGCAACGCGATATTTCTGTGGAAGATTCAGTCTCATTTTGCACAGTTGGTGAGTAGTGGAGCGACGTTTGAACTCTCATTTCGTCAAAATGGACATTTTTGATTTTTTGAACGAAATTAAAACTGAGCTTTTTCAAGTTTTTTTGCCGAAAACACGTCTAAATTTGCTGCTCTTGAGGGTCCGACATTTTTAAAACGTTGGACCCCGTATGTGTAGCTGGACCTAGCGGGAGACTAGATACATTTAGGCGGTCCCCCCTGGATGTATCTAGTCTCAAGCTTAGTCCTGATACATCCAGGGGGGCCGACATTTTAAAAACGTCAGACCTTCGGGAACAGCAAAATTAAGACGAGTTTGCAACAAAAAAAATTGAAAAAACTCACGTTCAATTTCGTTAAAAAAATAAAAAATGTTCATTTTGATGAAATGGTACTTTTCGTACGGGCATCGTCCTCACGAGTGCATTAGTGTCTTCGTTGATCTCGGTGGTCGCCTCCATGGTTGTGATCATCATCCTTTTGTTGCCAATCCGTATCCATCTGTTATCTTGTCGTTGCGGTTGTTGTCTTGCACATTGATATAGTGTTTTTTTGTTATCACTTTCGTGTTGTCGTTTCAGTTGCATGTGTTCCATGATTACTCTCCATGTACAAGAATCGAGGGGAAGACTGTCTTAACCCCGTTGAAACTTTGTGTCGGGTGTGGTAGACAGGGAAAACACGTAAATTTTAATGTAATAGTAACAAAAAGAAGGTAGCGATGAGGAAGCAAAAGTAGATAGGAGAGAGTCGAGAACGAGAATTAAGGGGAGTTTTGATCGTGGTGTTCATCGTTTCATTGAAGAGTATACCTGACTACGATTGTGCCCCGACCCGGTCAATAGTCAGGGCGAAGCAGTAGTGTGTGTGAGCCAACTTGACGGTGCATCTTCCCCTATTCCAACAGAGAATTTGACAACGTATGTTTTTATGTTTTAGTGGAAGATTCATTCTCATTTTGTGCATCAGGTTGGTGGCGGAATGGTGCACGCAGTTATAGCTATGCCAACCTTTGTCGAATTTGTTGTCACCACTAAGGTCGCAATCATCAACTTATCGTTTATAACCCCCGCATCGTGGATCGCTGCCTTTGTCGAATTCGAAGTGTCGCGCCTCATATTCGAGCTAGTCGCTCTTGATTTTGTTGTTAGGGATAAAAATAAACTTGGTCAGAATGACAACCAGGTACGTTGACGATAAGAAAACCGCTCGAGTCAGAGAGAAAGGAGAATGATAAAGAGGACGAGGAAAAACACAAAGGCAGTGAGAAGATAAACGAGGTAAGGAGGAAGATGAGTTATAAGCAGAAAAGAGAGTCGGGGGAAAGACAGAGATGAAAAGGAAAAAAGTGAGCACGACGAGAGGCGAAAAAAAAAAGAGTTGCACGTGGTAAAGAGGTTCCCTTGGGTTCACGATTGCCTTCATCCGCCTCCCGATTGATTGTGATCGAGATTCTGCACTTTAGAGGTACGTTCGCCGACCATTTGAAATCACGTTCATTTCGGTTATGAGCGACCTCGTTCTTGAGGATCGTCTCCTATTTCCAACAACGATACCTACTTTTCGTTAATGATTTTGCCTCATATGCATAAGGCAGAGTAGTGATGTCGATGATATTGTAAAGTAGAGTCCGTGCTATGTAGAGATACATAGAATACTACTAAGTTTTCTTTCCTTCTTTGCTCGATTATGTAATCAATCGCTTATCTTACTTTGCGTTCTACCCACTGTAAGAGTCTCATCTTTGTGGTAGATTCATTTTCATTTATGCATTTATTGAATAACAGGCGAGTAATGGTATTCAGCGTACGGCAGGCCCAATAGTCAAAAAGTGGTTATGCGGTGGTGGTTGGCAACTTCGAGCTATTACGTTTCATGTTACAATTGTTTTTCGTCCTGCAGGTGAAACTATCGTTTTTTTTTCGATCAGCATTTCGATACTCATCTTCGGATAAGGACTACCATCCTCTTTGGGGCAGTAATAGTTACTGTACTTTCTGGCGTGGCGACACTGTCATTTCCTTGGGAATTAGTGTTGCTGTCCAGCCGTAGGCTGCAACTCCTGTTGGTAGTCGGGTGCCCAACCATTGTTGAAATCGATGTGTATTCCAAAGTTAGTTACCGTGTTACAACAGCACTGAGATTTGTTGCTCCTCTTTGATGTATAAACAACGCAATGACACAACATATGCTATGATGTATAAACACATATATACACTCATGAGAAACCAAATATATCGGCGACGATAGTGACAACATGAATAACTTACCCTATGATGCTAGTTGATGGTGCAATGTGCTTGGAGCATGAGAACCATAAACAGTCATGAGGCCAGTTCATGATATTATAATATTTAAACTGCCTCTTCTCCTGGTCGCTGCAGACTGGCCGGCGAAACTAAACACTCAAATTCATCCCAAGACCTGCACGAATCATGAAAATAATAATGATAATTACTTATTGAAATTGAAAAACCATCAATCTGTGCTGAACTTTTATGCACTACCTGCAATTAACTACCTAACAACAACGGTCACTCTGCACGAGATATGGGTTGCTGTTTTCCTCTATGATCCCTCTAATTTGAACCACCAATACTTCCGAAAGTTAATGTGGTTAACAAGCGATGACAATGATGATCGAATAGTGGAAGCACCCAAATTCATCTGACTATAAACGTTTCTACTCTATTTTTTCTCATCACCCATATATGGGAAAGGTACGGATGCCCCAGTGCTAACTGCAAATTGTTCCCACATGATGTTGACCACAACCGTCCATGTAAGTTCGGGAGGGGGCCGCAAAGAGATTCCACACCTATTTTCCCATGGCCCCGAGAGGTTCCACACCCATATTCCAAAGGTACTACCCATAGACTACACAACTATACGCGAATGTAACATACACAAGGTCACCAACTTGCTTCTCAATCTCAGAGGCAACTTGACGAGGCCACCACTTAGCGTATTTCCATCTCCCTCGCCTTGGGTAGGTTTCTCGGTAATTGCCGAGTGAAAGGAGGTTAGCTCGACACTCCAATTTCAATGGGGTATTTTGAAGGTCTCCCATGGTAAAAAACTACTTAGGCGGCACTGCACCGCTGTTATGGGGGCTGGGCCTGTAACAAATGTTGTTCATTTGGGGAAAATTGGTCGCGGCGTCAAGAGACCACGGGGTTCTCAGCAGTGTCTAAAGCCAACACTCTCCCACACACCACATGCAGTGGGGAGTGGGGGAAGATGAAAAGGGAGGCACAGTTACTGGCAAATGCTCAGTCCTTGTGTTAGCCGGGACGCCATTGGGGGCCACAACCCTGCACCCTAAATCCTAGGGCAAAGGGGCAAACATGCCGTCACCTTCCTCCCTTCACCACCAAGAGATGTAACCTCCCTTCACCACCGAGAGGTAGAAATATCTGCTTGCAGGGGTCCCCTCTATAGGCTTAGTAGTAGTGGTAGGCAGAGAAAGGCAAAAAAGATATGTTCCATGACATGTCTGGACCCCGAAGCACTGGGCCTACGTAGCACTGGGCCTACGTTGTTCTCTTTGGGATTTGTTTTTTCCCCCCTCTTGGCTTCGGCCCGTGAAAGGCGGGCTTTTCAAACTTGTCGTCACGTTATGAATTTTGTGGGAAAGCCAGAGCGCGCGGTGGGTGGTGTGAATTCAACTTGAAAGTCGCTTCCATGGCAAGCAGTCGAGGGAGGGGAATGAGAAACCAGACAGAGGAAGGAGGTTGGGAGCGAGGCAAATGTAGAGGGAGGGGAGAGCGGGAGAGTCGGTGTGGACGATCTTCCTCCGGTTCCTTGTCCTTCTAGCTAATCTCATCTCCACCTGTCTCGAGTTCGTCTCACAGTTCCTCCTCCCTCGGGGTCCGCTTGTCAGGTCACTTTCCGTTGCATTGCCCGTTCGTTACCTTTCTTCTTCTTCTTCTTGTTGTTGTTCTTCTTCTCCGTCGGCCATCTCCGTCGGCCATCTCCGCGACCTTCCGTCTCTCTCGCATGAAGACGGCCAGAACGGAAAGGAGCGGTTCTGATCTCCCGCCTCTTAACGGGATGGGCACGGTAGCCTATCGGGAGGCAGTAGCCTATCTCTAATCTCGAATAAGGAGGGAGGAAGAGAGGAGGAACATTTTAGAAGGGGGGAGGTATAAAAGGAGGAAAGCAGAAGTAAGAAGACAAGGGTCAAAGATAGGAGGAGAGGAGGAGAGGAGGAGAAAGGAGGAGGAGGAGGAGGTGTAGCGTGGACGCGCACTGCGGCGACGAGGACGAACGAAGAGTAGTATGATGATGAGATAGCCGACTGTGCGCAGACACGGTGAGGAGAAAGGAGAAGGTAGGGTTGGAAGGAGGAGAGACAAGAAGAAGAAGAAGAAGAAGAAGAAGAAGAAGAAGAAGAGGAAGAAGAAGAAGAAGAAGAAGAGTGACAACAGCGGCCAACACTGTTTTCCGCACATGCTTGACAAACGTATTTAAAAAAAAACCGCGTGCACAAGTCTCAGTTACCCCCGTCTGTAATTGGCGATCTGTAATTGGAGAGGAGAAGAAAGGAGGAACGCAAGAAGAAGAAGAAGAAGAAGAAGAAGAAGAAGAAGAAGAAGGACAAGAAGAATAGTGAGCAGTGACAGGAGGGAGGGAGGGGAAAGAAGACCAGTGAGGAAGCAGGGACACGATCCCACAGTTGTGTTTCGGACCTGCGGACCCGCGATTCACAAGGAGAAGGAGATGAGCAAGCAGCTTTGAAATCGAACACCCCCCGTCTGTAATTGGCGAAAGGCTGTGGTTGGTTGCTGTCGGTTTTTTTTTTATTCCCGTCGGAACGGGAATAAAAACATGGTCTCTCCTCAAGGAAATGCCACGTTGTCTCTGGCCATAGCTATCGCGATTCTTGCTGGATGTCTCGTCTTGTCTGAGGCACAGGGAGGTAAGTTATGCATTGTAGATCTTCACCCAGTTTTGATTCTTTTCCTTTTCTCTCTCTCTCTCTCTTTCTCTTTCCATTCTCTCTTTCTTCCCCTTCTTTGACTCGGTCCCTTTTTCCTCTCTTTCCCTCTCTCTCTCTCTCTCTTTTTCCTCACTTTTCCTTCTCTCTCTCTCTCTCTCTCTTTTCCTCTCTTTTTCTCATCCTCGTTCTCTCTCTCTCTCTCTCTCTCTCTCTCTCTCTCTCTCTCTCTCTCTCTCTCTCTCTCTCTCTTCCCTTTTTTTTTCCTTGTCTTCATTTCGCATCTTATCCCTTTGCCTCTCTCTGGCCTCTTTTTTTCGACTCATTCCCCTTTCTTTGTTCGTCCTTCCGTTTCTTTCTCTCTTTTTCTCTGTCTCTGTTTCTGTTTCTGTCTCTTTCTGTCTCCGTCTCTGTCTCCCTCTACTCTTTCCCCTCTTTCTTCCCTCTCTCATTTCCACCCTCCTCTGTCAATCTGTCGCTTTGCCTGCCTTGCCGATTCTCTCCTTGCTGTCTTTCTTTTCTCTCTCTTTCTACCTCCAAATGCACTGCTTCCTTTCCAATATATGTTGTAATATCATAAAACGATCTATCCCCCCTCAATCTGTCATTTTATTATCCCATCCCTGACGCAGCATACCTCCCGCACTGGTTGTTCTTTGTTCCTTGACTATGGACAGAAACTTACGTCTGTCGATCTGTCTGTCTGTCTGAGTCTGGCCCCTCGGTCCCCCAAGCGATAGTGTTTTTTGTACTCCTGTTTCTCTGTCTTTAGGTGGGATCCTTCTTGCGGATCTGCTGGGCAGATCGCTATTTGCCCCTTGATAAAATGGTCTGAATATAGTCACTGTTTCCGTCTCTACCTATCTGCGTTCCGACCCCATGCCAGGCCGTTGTGGCGCTTCCTGTCCCATCATACTTCTTTGGACCTGTGCGCTTGCTTGGTAGCACAGGTCGAGAGCCGTCATCGCTTTCCCCGCGGCCACCGCGAGCGCGGTTCAGGCGGAGGCGGAGGCGGAGGCGGAGAGGCAGTCGTTCCTGGGCGGACGGCTGCCGGAACCTGCTCAACGTCGAGCGGGATCCGGTCCTCAGTGGTGGCGGGACTCACATCGGGATCTGGTGTGGGTCCATGCACGTGCGGCTCGCGGTTCTCTGTCCATGTGGGGCAGAGAAGATTGTCGTGTAGTGGAGAAGTTCCCGTAGTGAATGTTGAGATGGCTGGCATTCCTTTATCGTGGGACAGTTTTGCTGGGACACACGATTGTGGGACAGTTTTGCTGCTGGAACACATTCTTGTGGGGGGGACAGTTTTGCTGGAACACACTATTGGGGGACGGTTTTGCTGCCACACACTATTGCGGGACAGTTTTTGCTGCCACCCACTTTTTTTGCGCGACAGTTTTGCTGGGACACACTACTGTGTGACAGATGCTGGGACGCACTATTGTGGGCCAGTTTGCTGGGACACGATTGTGGGACACATGCTAGGTAGGAATCTGTGCCTCCAATTGTCTTGAACCGGAACGCAATAGTTGTGCAAATGCACATTGTATAAGCGATCATGGTTTGAGAAAAAAAATAAAAAATAAAAAAAATGCAGATCGCGGGCGCTTTTCCCGCGAATACAACGCGTTCGTCAGCATGAGTTTCACGTCACGGCTGCATTTTTTCACCGCGAATCTCCCTGCCATCCCTTAATGATACGCCTTAGTGCTCTCCCATTTAGACCCCTCAGCCCCATTTAGTCCCCCCCAATCAGTCTCATTTAGTCCCAACCAGCCCCCGTAAACCTTCTTTTGCTCCATCCATGGGTCGGGAGCTGTACCTGGTCCTGCTGGAATCTGGGTCCAGCGTCCCATTATGATACATAGGTTGTCTCTGTGACGTTTTTCTCTTCTCCCCTCAGTTAATCTGATAAGGAGCGCCCATATTCCCCCTTCATTCTTTTTTTTTTTTTTAATTTTCTATTCCCCCCCCCYCCCCCCCCCCTTCATTTTTGCGAGTGTATACCGCTTGTTCTGAACATGCAAGTATTTCGTTTACCTATGAAGAGCAATTTGGCCATTGCTTACCCTTCTTCTTCTGTTCCGACCTTCATCGTCTTTTCCGTTGTCCTCTCCCTGACGGTTCCGCTATGCGCTGCAGATTCCTTCTTTTTTTTTTTTTTTTTTTTCAATTTTAACATAATCATCCTGCGGAGCCTTTTTTTTTTCCCTGACCGTGGACCTTACGACCCTAAGCAGCAAATGACTGCCTCTTTTTTTTTTTTTTTTTTTTTAATGATGTACGCGCCGGTAGTATTATCCTAACCTCCGATTTCTCAAAAAAGGAGAAAAAAGGAAAAAAAAATCTACCTCTCCCTGGGACTGAACTGAACGCGCTTTCGTCCCTTTTCTCATCACCACACTTCCCTGCTCATGACACGTGTCACGTAGATTCGTTGTCAGCAGACGCGTTCTGCAACCGGTAGGAGCCATAGCTTTCCTGTTCATCATGCCCGTTCATCTTTCCGCCGTCATTCCCGATGCTATCTATTGTCTATGTCTTACTCGTGATTTTTTTTTTTTTTTTCCCCTTGGTCATGGATCTTGATTCATCACAAGCAATCTCTTTTTTTTTTTTTTTTTTTTTTTCCCCCCTCTGTTTTTCTTAGTCATGGATATTGATGCATCACCCCGGTTTTCCTTGCTTCTTTTTTTTTTTTCTCCTTGGAGGTAAGTAAGGTGGATACGGGGATGTACTTCGCCCCTTGAATAAGTATTGGAGCGCAAAAAGACAGACGCCTTCTCTCTAATCCACCGAAGAGCTAAGGTTTCTTGACGACCCTTTTTTTTTGGGGGGGGCGGGGGGCGGCGAAGCTTCAGTGCAGAGGTCCGCTTAAAGGAGGTTCAGCGCATGGTCCCACGACTCTTTAATATAATGGATGGGACTAATTGGGTACTCCAGGAGATCCTGGGTCGGGGAATGTGCGAGTGTATTTGGATGTATGCTCGTGATAGAAATGCAATTACATCTTTCTGTGCATGAGCGCATAGCGTTGGCCTCGCTATCTCCTCCTCCTCGGTCATGGATCTGGGACCCATCACCCATGAAGCTCTTCCCCCCCCCCCCACCCCCTCAAAGTCATGCATCTTCATCCATCACCATGGATCTCTTTTTTTCCCTTTCTCTCTTTCTTAGTCATGAATATTTATCCATCACCATAGAGTTCCTTTTTTTTTTGTTTTCGTCATGGATATGTATCCGTCGGTATGAAGCTTTGTTTTTCTCCCCCTTTTCCTTTTTATCGTTATAGGTCGTTGATCTATCACCACAGCACCATCTTCTCTCAGCAGGCATTTCTTTCCTGTTCCCACTTTCTGTCAATCTTTCATCCGTTCTCTCTCCATAACCAAATAGATCGTGCTTTTCTCATCTTCTTACTAATTTCTTGATGGTTGGATTTGCTGATCATTCAACCCGTTAACCTCCGTGCTTGATGTCTGTCAACCTCCTCTCCCCCATTTCCCGCCACCGTCCACAGCCGTCTCCATAATCACCGATCTTGATCTTGGTGGTTTTTCGTCCTGCTCTGTTCTTGAACGTTTTCTCGTTAGAGTATTGATCTGGACGCTTTCTCGTCGGAGTCTTGATCTCGATCTTGACCTTGATATCGATCTCGATCTCGATCTCGACCTTTACCTTGATCTTCGATCTCGACCTTGATCTTGATCTCGATCTTGACCTTGATCTTGACCTTGATCTTGACCTTGATCTTGACCTTGATATCGATCTCCTTTACCTTGATCTTGATCTTCGACCTTGACCTTGATCTTGATCTGGATCTTGATCTTGATCTCGATCTTGACCTTGGTCTTGATCTCGATCCCGATCTTGATCTTCGATCTCGTTCCCGGTCTTGATCTTCGATCTCGATCTCAACCTTGACCATGATGATCTTCGATCACGATCTCGACCTTGATATTGATCTCGACCTCGATCTCGATCTTGGTATTGATCTCAATCTTGGATTTCGATCTTGACGTTGATCTTGATCCCGATCCCGATCTCGATCTTGAGGTTGATCTTGAGCTTGATCTCAATCTCTTTTTTTGTTTTTTGTTTTTTTTTCAAGGGCTGCCCTAGGATCACTAGAGAGGGTGATACGAGCAGCCCCCGCTAGTGCCTAGGCCACCTGCCCTGCTCTAGTCTATTGGTGGGGAGCAACATCTGCTGGATCTCGATCTCGATCTTGATCTTGAATTAGATGTACCTTTCATTTCTGTACTTAACTTGTGGACAGTCTACCCCTAATGGCGATCCTTCAGTGTGACAGATAGGCGGGTGCAATTTCTATCACCACTATTGCAATGATATCATCCCGTGGCCTACAGATGCTTGCAGAAGATCTGACAGTTGTCATGCTCCCCGGCTGACACATCTCGAGGAATGCGGACACACTGACGTCCCGCACGCGTTGTGCCATCTTCCCAGTTGTCATGCTCCCCGGTCGTGCGATCCATCAACCGCATGCTTCCCAGTTGTCATGCTCCGTTGATGGCACGATGATGCGGTTGATGGATCGCACGACCGGGGAGCATGACAACTGGGAAGATGGCACAACGCGTGCGGGACGTCAGTGTGTCCGCATTCCTCGACATGTGTCAGCCGGGGAGCATGACAACTGGGAAGCATGCGGTTGATGCCATCAGTTGCCGCCTTCAAACATTCTTACGACGTGCCACGTCATCGTGCCTCCATCTCCCGTTGTCTCTTTGGACGAGAAACGGTGACAGTCATACCATAAGAGGCTTGCCTTCTCCGTTGGCCGACTTTCGATTTTGTGTACGTTCCCAAGCGCCAGATTTCTTCCTCGTATAAGTCTTCTCTAGTTTAATGATGGAAATACTGGGTTTCCCATCTTTCAATCGCTCACTTCTCTCTTGCAAAACGATAGGTCTTGCTTTTCTTCTTATCTTGTCGTATTCTGGTCAGAGTGACGTGTC